TGGGAATAAAATATCACAATTTCAGGCAGGTCGCCATGTTGTCAAGCGCAAGCGGGGCCCGGCTGGGAGAGAAAGGCGGGCGGGAGGGCGGTCGAGCCGCCGAAGGGGCCGGGCGAGGAGGAGCCCCGACGCGCTTCCGCCCCAGCCGCCGCCGCCAAGCGGACCGCGGCGGCCTAACGGGCCTTCCGCGGGGAAAGCGGCGCGCGGCACACGCAGCTAGGGAAGGGGGAGGAGGATCCCGGAGCGGCGACTCGCGAACTGTCACGAACCCGGGGGAGGAGAGGAGGGCCGTCCGTCCGTCCGGGCGCCCACCCACTCACCAGCACTGGAGGTGGAAGGCGGCGGGGCAGTGGTCGCAGCAGAGCAGGTCGCCGCCTTCCTTGCAGCTGTCGCAGCTGTCGTGGTTGGTGGCGCGGCCGCTCCGCCGGTGCTGCTGCTGCTGGGCGGCCGGGTGGTGGTGGGGCGGGTGGTGGTGGGGCGGGTGGTGGTGGTGGTGGTGGTGCGCGGCGCCGGGCGGAGCGTGGTGGGGGTGGTGCGGGTGGTGCTGCTGCTGCGCGTGAGGGCCCGACTGGTGCGGCTCGCCCCCGTCCCGCCGCCGGCTCCGCTTCTCGGCTGGAGGGAAGCAGAGAAGAGAGAGAGGGTGAGCCGGGAGGGGAGGGGGAGGAGGAGAAGAAGGAGGGGAGGGAGTGGAAGGGCCGCCGCCGCCCCCCCTCACCTCCATCAGGCCCCCGGAGGTGTCCAGATCGTAGACCACCGTCTTGGCCTCCATCCTGTCCCACATCCACGAGCGGCCCCGGCGGAGGGGCTGCGTGGGGCTCGGTGCCTGTCGCGGCTCGCCTCGGCTGGTGCCTTTGAAGGGGGAGGGAGAGGCGGGGGGCCGCCTGCCTCTGGTCGCTCGCTCGCTCGCTCTCGGCCTACCCGACGGGCCTGGTCGGCGTCGGCCTGCGCAGGAAGCGCCCGCAGGGGCCGGGGGAGTCGGAGGCCGCGGCTGCCATGACAGGGGGCGGGGCCCGCGCTGCCTCCGCTAGAGGAACGGGCGGGCTCGGTCGGGCGCCGCCGCCTCAGACACAGGGCCCCGTCGCCACAGCGCTCCCTGCGCAGGCGCAGAGCGCCCTCCCATCCGCACGGGGAGCATGCGCAGAGCGGCCGGCCCCGGCGCGCAGGCGTGCGAGGCAGCACCAACACGGCTGGAATCAATCGCTATTTCTCTCCGCCAGCGATTCCATCTCCCCCCCGCCCTTGCCCCGCGCAAGCGCTGCTCCCTCCTTTCCGAGTTGGCTTCGACGCAGGCGCGTCTCGCGTGCTGCGCGTGCGTGTTGCTCGGACGGATTCGGAGGGGGGGGGGCCTCCTCGCAACGGTCGCCGTCCGTTTCCGCCCCTGGCGCCAGGGTCGTGAAGTGGCGCACGCGCGTCACAAGCCAGCTGCCGAAGGAAAGTGTGTAAAAAAAAACGAAAAGAGGAGGAGGGAAGGAGGAATTCTTTTGTCTGCAGACCAGATTTCCGGATTATTTTTGAAGCCACAGAGTGGAGGCTCTTCGTTAGATATGACCGCCGTTAATTAATTTGATAACAACCTTCTCCTTAAAAAAAAAAAAAAAAAAGTAGAAGCAAGCGGAAAGATCCTGATCTTGCCCACGCACAGTTCGTCCCGTGTGGCAAAACTTTAGCTTTTTTCTAATATGACGTCTCTTCAATGCGCCCTCCCTAGAAGACGGGGAATAAACGGTCTAAGCAAGAGGACTGTGGATGGGGGAGGCTTTCTCTTACCATGGCAACTTGAGGGGAGGGGCGTCTATCAAGAATGGCATCCGACAGCATTGCAACTTATGCCTGCCTGCCTGTCTATCATCTATCTGTCTATATCTATCTATTTACAAGGCGAGGACCCGCAGGGACTTGCAGGGATCACGATTTCCTGCGTATACTTTCTTGACGCTATTCCCTTTTTCTCTTCTTGTCACAGCCTTATACCATATTCTCTCCTTCCCACCTACAACCCAACCATTCTTTATCTGCCCCCCAATCTATAGCTTTATATATTCCTTTTGCTTAATTCTAAGGAATCATAATTGTTTCCCTGTCTTCTGAGGTTACCAGCCTCCAGATGGGGCCTGGAGGTCTCTCGGAATCACACCTGATATCCAAATTAAGTGATCAGTTCTCATGGAGAAAATGGCTGCTTTGGGGGATGGACTCTATGGCATTATAGCCCACTGAGGTGCCGTGCCTCCCCAAACTCCACCCTCCCAGGCTCCGCCCCCAAATTTCCAGGAATTTCCCAACCCAGAGTTGGCAACCCTCTCACTTCCATTTTCTCTTTGCAACTACAGTGGAGGCCACCCAGTGAGCTTCCATGGCAGAGTAGGGATTTGAATCTGCATGTCCCAGATCCTAGTCTGACAGAAACCACTACACCACACTGCCTTTCAGTTTTCCCTCCTTCCCTTCCCCTGTCTTGTTGTCTGAATTTAAAATTTGTTAGCCTTTGTGCTGTTAAAACTTGTTAGCCCATGTGCTTTTGAAACGGATGTTGGATAAGATTGATATCACAGCTAAACACAATAAGACAACCAGAGAACTGAATTTTGGTTGAAAAAGAGTTGTCTCGAAACGAACAACCACTCGAGATGTTCGTATCGCTCACCTTCCGTATTTCACGTCCTGTGTTCTGAAAACATAGAAATTATAAACATCATCAAGCGTCATTTTTGTACAAGTTGTTATTGTCTATTCATTGTGATTTGTGAACCTTACAGCAATTTCTTCTTATTATTGTTGTACTACTTTGAATTGCTGGTCCCCCTTGTATATATTTTGTAGATGATTCAGTATAAGGCAACTTTGTATGTCCAAACATGCAGCCAAATCTATCCAAATAGTTTACTCTCCAGTAAGTGCCCTCTGAAATAACATGGTCTGATACGCATTTCTGCAGACAGCAATTGAACACACTCTGCATCCACTCTGGCAAGCTGTTCCAGAGGACTGGACCTATCCCAAAGAATGCCAGTGATCTATTACCAAATGGACACAGCTAGGTGAGGGTACTTCCAAGAGAAGGCTTTTCTCAGAAGGGTATCTGGTACACAGGAGTATCTTGGAAGATGCAGTACAATAAGTATCAGGACTTTGGGTTGGGAACTGCTTTAGTAAAACTAATAGTAAAAGTAAAACCAATACTTTTAATTGGGCCCAGAAACAAATGGATAACCTATAGAGTTGACACATTACTGGAGTTGCCTATTCCAGGTGCCCAACCCCAGACAGGAATCTTGCAGCCACATTTTGTAGTGATGGAAGCTTCTGAGATGTCTTCAAAGACAGCCCCACATAGTTCACATTAGAGTAGGAGGTTATGGTAACATGAATCAGCATGGCTTTGCAGACTCTAAGTAAAGGGCGAGATGTATGAGCTAGAGCAGGGGTGTCAAACATGTGGCCCGGGGGCCAGATCAGGCCCCCGGAGGGCTTCTATCAGGCCTGCAGTGGAACTGGCTGTCTTCTGCTTCTTCTTCCAGTTCTGCTGCTGCGTCATTGTAGGTTTGCAGCTTACAGATACACACCTGAACAGCACACTCAAGATTGCAACTGCACAGACATTTTGATGTAATAATTCAGAGCAAGAGATGTCAGTTATCAGACACTGTTAAAGAAAATATTGCAAGAGTACTAATGTTTTAAGCATGTTTTTATTTTAAGTTAAAAAAACCTTTGAGTTTGTGTCCTTTATAAAGTTTGTATCTCCGCTACCTGGCATTACATTGTATGACACACATGGCTGGCCCAGCCCAACGAGGTCTCATTTATGTCAGATCCGGCCCTCATCACAAATGAGTTCGACACTCCTGAGCTAGATGAGCCAAAAAAGGCACTGTTAGCAACAGAACCAACCTGCTTATCCACAGACAAGGTCCAGTCCAAGTGCAGCCCCAGGCTCTTCACTTGATCTGCTAAAGAGAGCTTAAGGTTGGTAGGTTGGTGCCCTCTAAACATTCTGTCATCCCCACCGGCATCACCTCAGTCTTGTCTGGATCAAGCTTCAGTTTATTTACCCTGAACCACTTGACCACAGCCTTGAGACACTGGCCCAGGACCTTCCCGGCAGCCTCCAGGTGCTGCGATGATTGAATGTAGAGCTGAATACACTGTTGGGTTTTCAAGGCAAGAGACATTCAGAGGTGGTTGTGCCACTGCGTGCCTCTGCATAGCCACCCTGCACTTCCTCAGTGGTGGTCTCCCGTCCAAGTACTAACCAGGGATGACCCTGTTTAGCTTCCGAGAGCTGACAGGATCGGGCTAGCTTGGGCTAGACAGGTCAGGATAAAGCTGGGTTATCACCCACATTTTGGTGGCAGTCCACTCCAAAGCTGCGGATGATCTCAGTCAATGGTTTCATCATGTAGAGGTTAAAGAACATTGGAGATGAAACGCATCCTAAGGGCACCCCCACATGACAGGTCCCAACTAGCAGAGCCTGCCTCTCCTATGGAAACTCTTTGCTTCCTGCTGGCAAAAAAAAGCAAAGAAAAAAATGACAACAATGAGTGGAGGGCTGTCCCTTTTACCCCAAATATTGACGGGTAATCACCCGTATCAGATGCTGCTGATAAGGCTGACAGCATTAGCAGCAACGTAAGTGAAGACCAGCAGCCAAAGCCACTAATGCCGTTTCAGTCCCAAGTCCTGGCCTGAAGGCAGACTGAAGCAGGTCAGGGGCAGATGTCTTATACAGAAAGGGGAAATTGGACACAGGTTGATAATTGCCCACATGCCTTGACATCTTAAGAAGAGGTCTAATATCACAGCTTCTTTCAGCTTTGGCAACATGCTGTGATCGTCCGCAATACCCTCATTGCAGGCAGAAGGGCGAAGTCACAACTAGTGGTCTGAGCTCTACTCACTGACCTCTGCATGCGTGGCTACAGAGGAAAGGTGTGGAGAGTGACCCCCCCCCCCAGCAACTTCAAGGCAGGGGGCCCCTGGAAGAATCGGGGAGGCATTTAAATGCCTCCCTGTGCCTTCCCTGGTCTGTCCAAGGGCTGACTTGCTGCGGGGCACCAGGGCAAGCCAAGGGAAGGCACGGGGGTGTGGCCTAATAGGCTAATGAGCTGTGCTGTCAGGGGTGTGGCCTAATATGCTAATGAGCTCCTGCTGTTGGGTGTGGCCTATTATACTAACGAGTTCCTGCTGTTGGGTGTGGCCTATTATACTAACGAGTTCCTGCTGTTGGGTGTGGCCTATTATACTAACGAGTTCCTGCTGTTGGGTGTGGCCTATTATGCTATTGAGTTCCTGCTGGGCTCTTTCTACAAAAAAAAGCCCAGCTGGGAAGTAAGGAGCTGGTCTGGGGCGTGAAGACTGGAAAAGTACTTGAGGAGCGGCACTTCCTCGCACTGTAATCTGTGCACACATACCTGAAAGGAAACCCTAACGAGTACAGAGCGGCTGACTTCCAAGGGCAGGTGCCTAGGGCTCTGCTGTCAATTGCTTCTCCCTCCTGAGCAGCTCTTCCTCTTACTGCTGACTGTCCCTTTTACAGCTGGTCTCCTCAAGCAATCAGGTGTTCGTTCAACTTGCACAGGGGCAAGGGATGCCCCCTTCCTCGTGCAGACCCCAACTTCACCTGTATGAATGCCCTCTGAGATCTCAGTTGCCATTATGGAGGTTGCTAGGCAACTGCAACAATATTGCCAGACTTCAAATCTTGAGTTGCTACCTTTTATCTGAAGTTGGACCACTGTGTTTTTGAAAATTGCTCGGCAGATAGCAGAGGAACAGCTCTTCAGGGGTCATTTTGTAGAAAAAGAGATGCAGGAGCTCATTAGCATAACTCATTAGCATAACTCATTTGCATATGCCACACCACCTGACATCACCGGAAGTGTGTCAGAAGGTAACACCCACCGCTCAGGTTCCACTGGACTGTTTTGGATTGCTAGCTATGGGGGGGGGATGTGCAGATCTGTCCTTGCAGAGGAGGTAGAGCTTGTACCTG